TTAAACTGTCAACTGCATCCGTGTCGGACGGTTTCTTCTCACGTGCCTCACGTAGTCGCTCGTTCAGTAGATCTTTTTGTCGCTTTCGCTCCCCATCGATTTTAGTCCCGTGACTTTTCATTCGTTCCATAATCGCCTCCTGGATGGGATCACAAAATACGCAAGAAATGGAAAGGTTACTCGCCACATTACCTAACAGTTTATCGTTTCTACTTGTCAATGCGATACAGGAGATTGGTGATTAGGCTGGCAAGTGCTGATGCCAGAAATTTTGATGTTTACGGTCGTTTCTATTTCAACTAATCAACATAGTTCATTCAGATTAATAAGGATCTACCACGGTACACATCCGAACCATATAAAAGTGATCGAGAACATGCATTGTTGTTGTTGTTGATGATGATGATGATGATGATGATGATGATGATGGTGGTGATGATGATGATGATGAAACTGACATCTCCTTATAGTTCCTTATTTTTCTGCACAATTTTATCTGAGAGGAAGTAGCATGACAACGGGATTGTTGGAGGTTTACGGATGACTTACCTGTTCCTCTTTCGCGGCTGTGCTGAGTTCGGTGGCCAAATTCGCTTTGAGATTGACAATTAATTCATCATCTACGGCCTGTTCGACTGTTTTTTTGTTTTTCTTGTGTTTCCTGGATAGAAAAAGAAAAATGTTTCGTTTTCGAAGAAAATTGCGCAGCGATTGAGAGAACATCCACGGTTTGTGAGGACGGTTCATGATCACTGTGATTGGGTTTGCTACTCTCATTGATGTTGCGTAACTCTCTGCTTTCCCTATGCATTTAATTTAATCATTCACGGTTCTGCCCCATCAGAGAAAATTGACCATTCGGTCCACTTTTGTTGTGGAAAATCCGAGTTCCGAGCTGTAACTACAAAAGATTATTGAAAGCATGCGGTTTTACTTATTTTCTCAGCTGTATTTTTCCTTCGCGAGACTTTTCCGAATCCATACCAGTTTCACGCATCATCATGCGCATCATCATCAGTCGTTACGGATTAAAGGGCATTGTTTCGCGTGTTTGCTCGGCCCCGATCTGATTAACTTTGACCATTCTGTCCCCATAAAATAAACTTTGATAGTGCACCTCTTTCTTCAGAATAAGTATAATGATGAAATATCATAGTGAAATCGTAGAAAACTGTTCTGAGCAATGGAAGTTTAATTAGTGGGTTCAAAATTTGCGTTATCCTTTGACTGAATGTAGATTCCACCTAGTCATAAAAGGGCCTAGTTTACCTGTCCCTTAGTCAGCTCAAACTGAAAAATTTCCCCTACATATGTGAGTTTTATTTTTACAGGCACTGAAGATCAGTGATCCGGGGATTTATTATGGGAATAACTTACAAGCTCATGTTTTTCTCGTCCCATAGGTTCGTGTTGTGGTTAAAAGAGAGTGCTACAAACAACTCCTTGTGTAAAATATCACCTGATACGACTTTCTTCCGCTGGTGAACGCAGATTCACTCAGGTTGGAATGTAATGTGTGCTAATGCTTAATTGATTCGCAGTATGAAAGATTCAATGCTTGACGCACAGATTGACAGAATTAGGTAGAATTGGGTTCCAGCTACTTAGCAATGGACTTAGGTTCTGTAAATCAATGCAATGTCAAAGGTGATGCAAGTGCTATGTATTGTTGTGCTCCATCCATGTGAACTCCGTATTTGGACAGCTTCTTGGGCTTTCGGTCAGGTTGGTCGTAATGACAGTCTATTCCAGATTAGCAGATTTTACTTTTTTGTTAATTCAGTCTATCACAACAGCCATTTCTTTTGGAAAATGGGTTTCTCCATGCCGCATGAGACTGGATTAATGATCCACTTTCGTGAGAAAAATGAACCCATCGAACAAGGACGCGACTAAGGTTAACTGGAATTATGTATATTTCTAGCTATATAGTCGTTAGTTAGGAGATTTTAAGAATTTTCATCATGTGCTCAGACTGACTAGCCATTACTAACCCCGGTTTGGATTCAAACCCACACCCGGAGGCCGTTTGTGAAATTGATTACAAACGAGGACCGAAGAGTTAAGTGATTATTCACCTTTCACAATTCTCTTCTGGTGGCACGAAAGCAGTTTGCGAAATAAACCAAACTTCTTTGGCTAAGTATCTAACATGTGCTCTTTGTATGAGCACTGGAACAGACGAGAACTGACTCTGAATGATACCCATGTCCGAGATTTTAACATCCGCCTTTGCGAACAGTGACCATACTTTCCATTAACTTGGCAAACATATATACATATACACATATGTATTGGGGTAAGGACTTCTTTTTCACTGTGTTCTATTATCTCTTCCTCCCGACTCCTTAGGTGTGTGATTGCTTTACACTCATAATGGTTCAACTAAAGTAAACTGGCAATTATTTGGGCATTCTGTGTCCTAAAATAGTCTTGTACACACACACACTGAATCGCACACCGAGTGTTACTTACTGATGCACAGACAATTAGAGAACGTCATGTTTGACTGCTTTATATGACAACAACAACCAAACAGATGACGAAAAACAACCGTACAACTCACTTTTTACTGGAACTGGGTCGTTTCTCTTTGCTCTTTTCAATCTCCACTTCCTCCTCCTCTGCCACCTCGTCGTCCTCATTGACTTCTCCAGTTGGCTGTTCCCCCTCCATTGCTCTACCGGGAATGAAAATAGGTTAAATATCCTCGAGGAACGATGAGTAACTGTCAGTTAAGTGAAAAATGATGAACCACTATCGGAATGTAAGGGCGTACAGGTGGTCAGTTTCCGGAAAAGCGGACACAGATGGTCAGAAATCGAACAACTCCTTTATTACATACGAGTAAGGGTGGGGGAGGGGTGATTCAATCTCAATGAGGGAATTCGTCGTGTGTATAGAGAGCAAATGATGCGTGAACTGAAAAGCTAGGAAAGCTGTTTCGATCTGGTTGGGTCTCATCAGCATCCATCAGAATCCATCAACCCAACTGGGGATAGCGAACCCGGGACCTTACACGCATATCATCTACTCGGTCACCGAGTAACTGATCAGACCGTTTTTCATTTTTCAATTACACGATTAGTTTCCTTATGGAACTGAATAAAATCCTCTATTACTCTCATGCAAAAAGCAACCAGATTGTGAAGGTTTCCCACCGAGTCATACTCCCGGAAGCTAGTACTGAGATGAGAGGGGTCAAGACCCGCAGCAAGCCCACAAACATGGGTTGTGCTATATCGTGCATATTCAAAATGCAAAACGGTCTGATCAGCTTCCGGGTAATGGAGTAGGTGGTATGCTTGCGTTCTGCCCATGAGGTCCCGGGTTCACGATCCCCAGTTGAGTCGATGGATTCGCTCTTACTGCTGCTGATGAGACCCAACCAGTTCGAAACAGTTGTGCAGTGCTTCCCAGTTTTTCAGTTCACGCTTCATTCGCTGTAAACACAACGAAGTTCCCTTTTGAAATTCCTTCATTTTATGGTCATGGAATAGTTCCTGGTAGTTATCATGACATTCGGGATGCCCACAAATTTGAACTTAAGTGGACGAAGCCTACAAATTTGAAAGCTACCTTACAGCTGGTTGTTCATAAGCCCGTAATGATCTGAATAGGGCCGAAGCTCATGAGTAACACGAGTTCGATTATTTCAGTGAAGGACCTGGTTCGATTTAATGGGTTTTTCTCTCCATTATCTGGGGGGCAAGTGGAGATACCCAATGACCTATAGATTGATAGCATTCGATTAGATCATAGATGCTAAAAATAATTCCTGCCTATGAGTTTGATCGAATATGCATCCTTGAAAGAGTTGACTGTTATCATGCACCCTGGATAGTTACGCGAAACAAGTCTGTCTGATCACAGACTGTTATGATTCACAACTAAACGTAATTTTTTTAATACTTACTGAAAAATATATTTATTACAATTGGGAAAACTTTCATTCCCGTTGATCCATTTGGAGAAAACAACTAAGATCACGTGAGCCGGATTGGTGTTGGTTATCAATTTTGTGAGCGACCAGTCTACCATCCTCGTCTATTCCACAGATTGGAATGTAACTAGAATAATACCATATATGAATATTAACTGAACTACTAGGGTGTAAATGAACTATGGTTGGCTGTTAAGTACTTACCAGTGTCACTTGGAGATAAGTGGACAAGCAGAATGGGGGTTGGATTGTCAAGAAAGAACCGATATAAACCAAATGAGTTCAGAAACGCTTACACAAAGAAAAAAGGGTTGACTACAAACGACAGAAAATTGAAGGTGGTTACATACAATGGCAGCTAAGAGAACAACTCATCTAGATCAAGCCAGAAATTTATTCGAATGGATTCAGCAAGGTTATGCAACAGGAAATTGATCAATCAAGCCTATGTGCGAAAGGTCTGTGTGAAAATGTCCTATACCATATTAGAATGTAATCCAAATGCAAAGCTGTATGCTACCTTGTGCATCTTTAGATTGAAGATAGAGAGGAACAGTCATCAAGTTTGTGACTAGTCGTGAATAAGGTGGGCTCAGGCTCACTAAACAAGTGATCGCGGACGAACGGTGGCAATACTTGAGGACGTGATGGGTTTCCTCGTGGCCAACGTTCTACCCAGAAACTCTAAAAACGGTAGTTTTACATGAAAATCGTGTGTTACAATTGAATAAATTCACTGGCTCTTTTACCCTGGTGAGTTATTGTATTCTAACAGAGGCGTTTGACATGAAATTCTTAGCAAGTAACTTTTCTGGAAGCTCTGAGAGTGTTGGATAATTGTTCTAAATCGATCGGGGCTATCGGGGTGATCGATACAGACGCGAACTGCGAACGGGAACACCTCATCACGAGTCCACACAGCTTGTGAGACAGAGGTTCGGTACTTATCAATGTGTACACTCTACGCTAATGAAGTCGACATAAATACGGGTACCTAATTCCGGCAGCCGACATATTCAAATAACTCATTCAAACGCATCCTACTGCATGTGTAAAATTGCGACCAATAGACAATCGCGAACACCAGGGGGTGCAAGCACAATCAGCAGCAGCTCACATAGTCATCTGATCTTCTGGAAAACCAGTTCATCAAGGTCGTGTAGCCCGTTAATAAGGCATACCGGTTAAAGTGAACATAAATGCATTTTGTGCCCCAGCCCTATATTCTTATTTGAACATCAACGCAACCTCTACAACTTAATCAAGAATCCAGTCAATCGAACCCACAGGGACGACATTCTGCTGGTCGTAGTTGACTGGAATACCCGTGCGGACCCCATTAACACACATACACATTAGGCCCCGTTGAAAGATACGATAGTGGTGCAACCTGAGTACGTTTGAAGACTCCAGTGTATACCTTCTGCCAATAGTCCCAAAAGTATTCGTTAAATTGATGACTCAGTAACTCAGGGCGAAACACCAAATAGACCACATAGTGACAAGTTCTTCATGGGCTTTTCCATTCGCGAACTATCGCGAATACCGCGGGACGGTAATGGGAGTCTCCAATGGCACTGATCAATTGCTGGTACAAGTTCTCTTTTTAACATTCATCGTTCATCCACAAGGTAGAGTGAAGGTCTCTAAGTGATCGATTCCAGACAATATCTAGCTGTGGTGATCCAAAAATTAATAACCGTATTCCAAGTTCGACCAGGTACAGCTTCATGTCATCCAATGAAAGTTCAGGAAGCTGGGCCAATAGTACACCGAGAGAACATCACATCAGAGTCCGTACATGCGATGCGTCTGCGCAAACGGTTACTTGATTGGACGATGGTCCTTCAACCAATGATATGACTTTTCTTTTCTATAAAAAAAATGCTCTATTTCTATGAATAAAAATTGGCACGTGCTGCTACCAATTCCCCGTGTATTTCATTAGTGTTCGCAGTTTGGAACCAATCCGGTTCTGAGTACTACAGTACGGGTTCTCGTATTCCCTTATTCAATACTATTCCGATTACCACACTAGCCTTTATCAAACAGCATAGCTTCCAAACTAGCTGTGATTTCTGTCAATACTACGGTGCTGATTCGTGATAAACAGCATTTTAATGATCCTATTACAGAAGTCAATTCTTAAAATGCTAAGAAAATTTTCTGAACACACGAACAGTGAATCACCAAAAAAGACTCTTAACCGCTGTGCAAAGGTTAGAGATGTGAAAAGCCGTAATGTGCTGAATTCCCGCAGCGTTTGACGTGAAGCAACATTTGGACAATGTTGTTTATAAGCGTTATTGCGCTTCAGTTGCAGTGAGGATGGAACTAGCAGTCGCCGTTCGAGATTCTGACTTTTATGCTTCACTTTAGGAGACGAGAGACGACAGGTGCCACCACATCGTTATCATCATCATCATCACAGGGAAGAGAACCAAATTTTCCAAAGATGGGTCAGACACTTTAGCCACCTCTTCAATCGGGCTCCATCCCCATTCAGCCATTTCAAGCCATAGGAAATTGGTCTGAACCCATGTAACAGATCGGAAATCGATGCCAGTGTTTCATGGTAATGAAAGACAGGAATTCCCCTGTCAAAGACGACGTTTCTTCATAAATCTGTTTAGTCGATCCACCAAATCTACTGGACCTACTGAATACACTGTTCCGTTGTATCGGATGAGAGTGAAATTTTTACCGATAAACAGATGACATTCATTCGATCAAAAAAGAGCAACGTAACCATCTATACAAACCGCATGAGTAACAATTTCTCTGTTATTGTGATGGAATGCAGTACAAAGAGAGTCCTGGTTAGCGACCGAATCAAGATCGGGGCTCATCCGATCAGACTCGCAGACGCAGCGGCAGGAAGTGCTTCGCGAGACAATGTTGACTGCCACCCGAAACGAACGAATCGACAATTACAGCCCGACAGACAATCCGCAGTTAACGGGAAAGATATCCACCGAATGTCACAACATCGGAACTGTCGATCAACGCATCTCGCGCCGCGATCGGGTCAAACCAGTCGGAATGGCACGCGGAATAAGAGGCAACGTACGTGCCAAGTGCGGACCAAGACCAACAAGGAATGACCCACAGCAAGAGGCATGAATCATCCCGCCGCGCGGTTGAGAATTGATTGTATATAATCGAACGCATACACCGTTTCTTTTTGAATTGGATCAATAGACGTTTTTCCCAGCCAGCTCGCCTTCTCGCTACATTATGGCAGACAAAGATATCCTGCTCAAACGTTTCGATACTGAAAGTGATATGGGAACACGTTTAAACTGGTGTGATTTTCTTCGAGGGAAAGGATAAGTCGATCAGACCTTAACACCACACTGCAGTTTAGAACACTTCCATAGACTCTAACAGCAGCAACAACCTTGATTTGTTCGCCAAATAAACCCAGTTCAGATGAACCCATTCTTTCTTTTATGATTCATGAAAAGTAAAATGTACGATAATACTGAGCCACAACCCGCGGGCGGGGGCGGGGTGTGGGGAGACTTACTTTATATATTTCTTCATTGCTTTTTTCTCTGCCCGTTTGGCCTTTTTCAGCACCCGGGCATCCCCGGTTTCGGTATCCTGCAACAAATCGGCAAACGCCTGACTAATCGCGGCCATATGTTTGCCCATCTCGGTGGAGGTGTCAAAAACGCCCAGTTTGGGACCTGACAAGAGGAAAGCAACGCGTTGTGCAGGACACGACAATATGTATCCCCTGGGGGCAAGGGGAGGCACTTGGAGTGAAGATGGATATCAGATTAGTCTAACTGAGCCGGGATTCGTTGGTGGAAAGAACAGGGCAGGGTGTGCAAGGGTA